CTAACGCCATTGTAACACAATCACTGATGTAACGGTGGTGGACTCATCAGAACAGAGTGGGCTCACAGGGGGGGGGGGGGCAGGAGCTCCAACAAGCCGTTTAGGACAGAGTGAATACACATGCTATATCAGAAACCAATGTGAGTTTGGAACATTGAACAGTATAAATCTATTCTAGTAGACCTCAACAATGGAATTATGGCCACGACATGGGACCTATATGGGATAAGCTGATTTTGAAGGTCATAATAACATAATTTATTCCTTTTAACATTTGCCACCTTAGATGTTTAAGTTTCAAAAAGGCTTATGAGACATCAGTATGTTAATATAATGACTGCCAGTCATTTTTCATTATTCAAGACTTAGTGTTTGGGAACCATTGGACAAAAATGAACTATTAGTGGGTCAATTGAACCATGTCATGCGGTGGTTACGATTTTAAGGTGCCAATTAGGTATAATTGGAAAAATACATTTTAAGTTTCTGAAAATATCAGAAAAAAAATGATCTATGATGCAATATTAGTTCAAAATGCTGTTTTTACACAAACTTCCTGCCATAAAATTAGAATAAATACTCAGTTTTAAACATGCATCTGTCAAACGTAAATAGTACATATCACTTATATTCAACAACATTTATTATAAGGATGTCAAATATTGCAACTGAAACAAGGGTTCATGGTGGGTTGCAACATGTTAACACATTACATTTAGCTTTTTGTCTAATTGAGGGTTCTTCAAAAATGTGTTTTAAATCAGTTTAACATTTTTATATTAATTGTAAAAAAAACTGCAACCGTTTTAAAAACACTTTCGTCAGTGAATAAAAACTGCAAACTTGGGTTCTCTAAATTAAGTAAGGACATCCCATAATTGAAACAGCTACGCAAAAAAACCATGTGAGGAATATCTCAGAAGCATTAAGTGATAAAACATTTGATTTGAATGATGCAGACGAGGAGAAATGACGAGTCCAGGAGAAAAGTGCTGAGTCATTGTTAGTCTTTTATTGAGGGGGGTTGTACCCAAGTTTTACAGCTTTGTATGACGGCTGCAGGAGCCAGAGGGTTACAAACAGTAATCAGTATACGAGTACAGCCAACAGAAGACCTACTACTCACTACTCTACACCTTAGTACAGATTCTCTTAAGAGCACTAAAATCCAGAAAAAAATGAGAAAAAAATAATACAGAACAAACCAAGCAACAAAGGAAGGAGAATAAAAAGATTAAATGAAACCAAACAAAGACAGCATCAGAGGAGACATTCATTATTAGAGCACACTGGAGTTGGTTTTCTATACCTTGTAATATCAGGCGACTTCGTTTTGTCAATTTTATACCCATACAAATAAAGATTGTCCTTCAAAAAGTGCAGTTTCCCCCAAAGTTTAAGATAAAATCTTTTTTGATGACCCGAGGAAGACATTTGAAAATAAAAAGGTACTTCCTGTTTTTGTTTGTAAAGAGAGGAAGACGTCCCCTCGTTGATTATAGACACTGTACGTTTATATTCTCATATATATATATATTATATATAGTTTCAACAGTCTCCCAAAGCAATGTGCATAATAGGTTTTACAGGTGATCCAACTACACACTGTGGATTGATAGAATCTCTATAAAAAACATTGTAGTTGTGTAAAATTTGCAGTTTTTCACCGGCCTCGGCCCCCTCGGCTTATCGAGGAGACAAGCTGTGAAAATAAAGAAATGGACTTTTGCAAATCTTAAACCTGTCCTCCTCTCCTGCTACAACTGGCCCGACGGTTTGCTAGGTAATAAAGGTTTTTTCAGTTTTATTATTATTAGTAGTAGTACGATTCAACGATGGCACGACATGTTTGAGGAATATTATTGGGAATCCCTTCTGAACTGTGTTTTTAAAAAAGTTGCGGGATTTTTTTTTTTTTTACGTTTTTTTTTATTTTTAAAGAAAGCAAAAAACCCAAGGTGGACATGGAAGCCTGGGTTCAACACTCCACTGCATAGTCTCTCTGAGCGCCCCCCCNACCATGTGCGTAAAGTTGGTGTCCTGAGTCCCACCTCTGCCCACTTGTCAGTATTGGTGCGGTTCCACAGGGTGCGAATTGTAGGGCCCCTGCCTTTCTCATTGTACCTGCCTGCTCCCGGGGTCCGATCTTGATGGAAGCATGGTTATCTGCCTTCCATTGTTATGCTGATGACAGGCTGGCAGAATCTATGGCCACTAAAAAAGAAAGGAATAGTTTGGCTGCTCTGCAACGGCCGTGCTTTCTGTTATGTCTGAAGACATTAATAGCCTGGATGTCTTTAAACTTTTTAAAATTCAAATTGAAAATAAGACAGAAGTGATGGTGTTCGGGTCCAAGTGGCTTCATGGGTAAATCCGCGCCTTTCTGTTGCGATCGTTGGCCCCTTGAGGCATTACAGGAAGCCAACAGTGTACAAACTGGGTTTTAAAGATGGACATGTGATTTTAAATCTTGACCGCAAATTGGGGCAGGTTAGTGAAGTCCCAGCTTTTTTTTATCTTAGGCATGCCTGCAAAGGGAAGCCCTTCCGGTTGGACACAAGCAACTGTTGAAATCAGAATCCATGGGCCTTTATAGCATCTCGGCTGATTTTACTGTTTATGGCACTGGTAGTTGTGGGAGTCAGCGCAGTCCTCCGCTCGAACGTGCTCCTCATGTTAGTCCAAAATCCTGCGCACGCCTTCTAAGCTGGAACACGTAAAGGGACCACAGTTGAGCTGCCCGATTTAGCCTCCCTCGCCACTGCTGCCTGTGCAGTTTAGAGTCCATTAAGATTCTTTTATTTGTTTTTAATTTCGTTTTAATCGGCTCGCCCCGCCGTACCTCTCAGACTGCTCCATCCTGTACTCTCCTGCCCGCTGCCTCAGGTCAGCTGATCACCTCTCCTGGAGGTAACCGAGGTCTAAACGAAGTCAGAGGGAATAGAGCCTTTTCCGCTGCCGCCAAACGGGAATGGGCCCTCCCATTAAGCCATTAACAAGCCCCTCACTGTCCATTTTTAAAACTCGCCTAAAAACCCATTTTTATTCCTTGCTTTAACCCCAGCATGAGACTTCTGTTTCTGTTCTGTTTTTATAATGCTTCATTTGGTTTTGTTGTTTTTAATTGTTATTTATTGTTTTTTGTTTTGTTTTTTATGGGCGTGTACAGCAGTTTTTGTTTCAGCTCCGGCTGTTTTGAAGGGCTTATAAATAAATTGAGTGAGTTGAGAAATAACAAAGACCAGAAACGGTTTTTGAAACCTTTTGCACGTAGTGATCGTCTTCTCAATAGAACATCTTTTGATAAATTCTTCTGGCCAACGAATCAAGATAACGGCGTGGTGTTGTGTCAGGAAGTCCCGACGAAGATACTTTGCTGGTAGTACAGGGGTGCACATAACTGGTACGCAGTTATGTGCCATAAGCTAGAATGCTACCAGTCACTGTGTCACAAGCGGCATTTGCGTACCAAATACTTGTGAGCTTTTCCAGAAGTCGATTAGATCACCTGACCGAAAAGAGTCGTGTCTCCGTGTGCACAGAACAGCTGGCTGCTGTTAAGTTCGTTCCTGTACAACGTCGGTCTGTACAACGGAATTGTGCCAAAACTACGCCAGGGAGACTCCCCCCCTTCACTGGAGAACTGCGCTAAAACGAATGATCACAACGTTCACACTATGGTCACAAAGTACTCCACTAGCCCCCCCCCGTCGACTTTCCTGAAGTACTCCCCCGTTGATAGAAATCAACACGTAATGAATTAAGACCCCACGGTTTGATGATTGATAGGTGTGTGGGCTGTCTTTCATTTTGACACACAGAAAAATGTTATAATAAACATACCTTCTTTCATTTATCTTTCCATTCCCACAACAATATACATAAAGAAATGGCATATTTTGGACATAGTTCGAATGGTGATTAATCATGATTAATTAATTTTTAAGCTGTGATTAATCTGATTAAAAATGTTAATCGTTTGACAGCCCTAATTTAATGACATCATTAAAAACAAAAAACTATTTCCAATTACTTTCATGCAACACTTTCATACGTGACACTGTCATAGACTATTATATCTGAGGGGGGCCAGAGGGGGGTCCAAGCTCAGTGTGGCAGGGGCAATGACTGGCCCCTGTTGACCCCAAATTAGAACCGCCCATGGTAAAAAAGCCTGTTACCAATTCATGAGGAATTATTTGATTGCTAATCTTCTGTTTGGCTTCATAATGGTTGAAAGGATGATCAATATTGTTTCACCTCAGTTTATTTTTTATGTTTGTTGTGTTTAAGAGTCTATAGTGTGTAACGTGTGTTTGACTGTGTTTTAACTAATTAACTAATGATTAACTAATGCTGATTCTTATAAAGACAATATAAGACAAAGCACCATGTGTAAGTTTGGTTAGGAATTGCGTTTGAATGTTAACCTATTCAAAATTGGTAAGTTCTTGATTGGGTTTAGGATATATTTACCTTCTGTGTGGAACCGGACTGAGCGGCCGGTGCAGACTCTTTGGGTCTGGTTCCAACGTCAGACAGGAAGCTGGCCCACAGGTCGTCAGATTTCTTCTTCAGTTTTTCCTCAGCCTTCGGCCCTACCTTGGTGAGTTGTTCCACCTCTTCCTGTGGCCGCTCCTCTGCTTCTGCTCCGTCCCCCTCTTCATTATCTACTTTCAGTACTCCTTTCTTCCTCTTTCTATAAAAAGAATGGTTTTCATCATTCACATCATCTTTTTAGTAGCAAATAGGGTATTTATTTATTTGTCTGTTTAATATAAGATTGCGTGCGCTGAAAAGTACTAAATGTGGTTAATTCAATCAAAATGGCGGACATTACTGCACAAGAATTTTAGATGCTATTTAACATGCCTGCTGATAAAATGCTACTTATCCAAGATGTTGGAGTTGTGGAAGTTGTGATGTGGAAAAGGAAATCGAAAAAATAGATCCTAGAAACGTGTTGGACTGCTAATTGACCCTTTTGGCTTTTTTTTAAAGATGGATATGGAAAGTTTAGCCCTTCATCTGATATCATTATTGCTTTAATCTTATAACTTGTTAATTATTTTCTCACCTCACACTGATGTCCTTTTTGTTCCTCTTCTTCTTGCTATCGCTGCCATCACGTGGCACAGTGTCACTGTCGTTCAGAGGGTCTTCCTTCTCACACTCATTAAGGTCATCCTCACTCAGGTTATCATCTGAGGAGAGAACAGGAAGCAGACATGAGAAGGAAAGAATGTGAATACACAGATCAATAATGTAGTTTATTAAAAATTAGCTAAATCATGTTGTTATGGTATGATTTAATCATGTTATCATTTACCCTGTAATTAAAGCTTACACAAATAGTTTGTTTGATTTCATGTCATGCAGTTTATTTGCACAGTTCATTTTTGACATATATTATATATATATCAATAATTTTGTTTTAATTACATTGAATATGTTTGCATTAAGACCATTTTTTGTGGTGTAATGGACTGGATATTATACGAGGTTATAATATTTGTTTAAAAAATATATAATTTAATGACATTTTAACTAAGTGGCCATAACAAATTATGTACCTGAAACAAACACAAACATGTTGTTTTTTTGTGCGCTATGACTTTATACTGAACAAAAAACACAAATCTTGAACACTGTCTCACCCCCCTTTGATTAATAACTCGCCCCAACATTGCCCCCAAGGAAAATTGTTCTAGAACCGCCAGTGGTCTTTAGACTCCAGGTTTGTACATCTGCTGAGAAGAAATTCAGCAATAAATGTCCTTGTTCTTGATGGGCTTTAGCTCAAAGTCTCTACACAGCGGTGTTATCGTTTTGAAAGCGTACCTTTTGCTAGTTATGGCTAATAGAGCTAATTGAATCTATCTTATATAAAAAGTCAATTCATTAGCTACAACAACAGTCTTCCTCCATGCGGTGTGTACTACGCTTCTGATAAAGCGCAGCTTTGTTTACTGCCCTAACCTGAAGGGACGTAGTCAGCATCTTCATTAGACGAGTATCCGTCAGAGTCGTAGTCATCGTAGTCCATCATTTTGGAGAAGCTTCAGACTGATAGTGAAGTCAATAAAGAGGGCTACAAGCGACAGTGGGTTTGCTACTTGCTTACTTCCAGGGGTTACGGAAGTAAACCTAACCGGGTTTAAATGCCTCCTTTCTAGCAGAACTACCGTTTTAATGTTGCTCTTTTAGAGCTTTAATATATTTAAATACATTTAGTGCACGATATGTATGAAACTGGGTAGTACAGTTAGCCTTTCTGAAATTGAATGTGAAGACAACGGAAAGCTCAAAGGCTCAAAATGTTGGACTGCTGCTCTCTTCTGTTGCAGCGAGCAGGCGAGTGTTTCTGCATCAGCGCCACTACAGGGGGGGAGGGTCAATACAACAATAATATCAGCACAGCGCCAATCAGTCAGCCAGGATAAGATTTATAGGCCCACGCAGCGCCATATAGATACAAGATTCTAATCTAGATTCTAGATTCTATTATATGGCTCTGGGCCCACGGTACTGTGTGTAGTACTTGATACTGATGGTAATAATTTATTGAACTATCATTTCAGCTCTTGAGAATGAGACCCTAGAGCTAGAGGTTTCTCAATACTCAAATTTCCCCTCCTCGACTCCTCGGTCCTCCGGTAGTGACCCTGAAATGAATTTCAGCGCGCCATTTTGAAGGACATCTCATTTCTCCAAATGCCCTTCGAGGACCGAGCATCGAGCATCGAGGAGGCTCTCTGGAGGAGCTCTAACCGAGGAGACACTGATGCATCTTCCACGGCTCCTCCACGGATGCATTTCCGGGAACGGTGGAGGGGTGACGCACGGCCGGACTTATCTCAGCCAATGACAGCTCTGCATGCATCCCTTGGATATTATTTTAGTAACTGCTTTCATCGCAACGCGATGTTTACAGTGAGAACATGTTTCCATGCAGAAAGCAGAGCAGTGTGTAAAATATATATCACTCAGTATAACAGGCCTACATTACTTTCTGTATTTGTATGCTGTAGTTTATATCTACAAACAAAGAGTCGATATTTTTCTAAGACCATTTAGTGCTTCACATAATAAAATAGACAACGGCTGTAGCCTGAATATGCTTTAGGAGAAGTAGGTGTGTGTGGTGTGTAGGTGTGTGTGTGGTACAGTGTGTAGGTGTGTGTTGTACAGTGCGTAGATGCGGCGGACAGACGGGTCTCAGTTGGTTTGGTGTCCTATGCTTACTTTGAATAGCCTACTTGTACAACTTTTGGCCCGTAATTTCAATTCCCCATTTCACCGACCAGAGAAAGAAGGAGGGGGGGGGGGGGGGGATATATCCAGTCTCTGATTGTGTTACGTTAATTATGAGAGTGGACTCATACTTGTTTGATTCTGAAATTGTTATATATTTATATAAATATATGTATTGATGTTATGTGTGGTGTGTGTGTTGTGTGTGTGTGCTGTGTGTGTGTTGTGTGTGTTGTGTGGTGTGGTGTGTGTGTGTGTGTGGTGTGTGTGTGTGTGTTGTGTGTGTATTCAGCATCTGTAGCCCTGTTATTGGTCTTCCATTATACCGCACTGTCAATTAATTAAAAGTAAATATACATAAGTCGTTCATGTGGTGCCAACTCTCAACCATCATCTGAAAAGCGTGTGACACACGCTTTCACTCCTCAACATCTCCACGCCTCTCACGCTGCCCAAACTATTCTCACACGCCAAAAACAAGATCAAACCGGCGGATCGTTTTTGGTTGGTTATTTACATGTTAAGTTTGACAGCTGCTCCAAGCTGTCGATCCGCCACCACCACTCTTAACAACGTAACAGACAGCAGAGCAGTGAGGCCCGGTTGGCAATCCCCGACCCGTAACTGCGCATGCGCAGATCTAAGATCCAGTAGAAATGATAAAAAAAGTAAAAGTCTGCTGCTTATTGTTTACTAGGCCAAAAATAGAGTCAAAGAGTATATGAGAGTGAGAGTGGTGTTAATTAACTATATTTGGCAGTTTTGGAGTAAGTCTGTAGATGTGGTTGTGGTGTGTGGGTGTTTCATGTAAGGGCCTCTCAACGGGAATTAATTTTGTTAGGATACAATTTTCCCGGAAATTATTGCTATAAACGATAATATTGTCGGCACCGTGTATGACCATTTTAGACCACTGACATAATGATAATATATAATAATAATTCAAGTACATCCTTTTCAAACTGCTTTAACAACCATCCTCATGTAAATGCAATTTAATCGAGGTCGAAAGTTGTCCGATGTTTCATTTTTTATTTATCGACGATAAGTAAGATAATTGCACACAGGCACACAATAAAACAAGTGGAAACAAACATGTGTTTGAATTCATTAGTGAATGAAACTTTGTGCCCTTTACTAGTCCTGTGGTCCAATATTGTGGTATTTGTAATATATTGTTATATATATCCTATTATATGCTAAGGTCCCGCTACTGACACGATAGCAAGTCATTTAGTGCGCATATGTGAAATTAAACCCAAGATATCAAATCCTCACTCCAGCCAGGTACCCAAAGTTGGCAGCCCTGCATGAAACACAATCTGTCCATCAGAGTGCTGTGTGCCTCCTGGTCATCATGAATGGACGTGTCTTTAAAATGACCGCTCAAGAAGGGAGAGGAGTTCTCATTTCTCTAACCACCTGCTGCTTCCACTCCTCTCTCCCTCCGGTTCCCCTTCCTCAGTCCTCCCGCTCAATCTCCTGTGGGCGGCACAAGTCTCGAGGGAGAGGAGTCGAGGAGGGGGAAATTTGAGTATTGAGAAACTCTCTGTCTCAATGAGATTTTACCTCTATAAATAAAGGCTTAAATAAAAAAATACCTTCTGCTTTCGTCCACTTTCCAAGTTTTTTGTATTAATAAAGCAATAATGTCAAACAGTAAACAGCAAGTACACAATAACAGTAAGGCCATGGAGAGATTCGATTAGATTAGAGTAATGAAGATCTAGATTATGTATTCATAATCCAAATGAGAAAAAAAATTCAAAGCAGCATGTTAACATGGCATTGCACATCAAATAGAGAACACTTCAAAAAAGAAACATAATGAGTTTTATAGTACAATCAACAGTAAAAACACAGATACTCTACAACTCTAACAGATACATCAATATAAAATGCGAACAGAATACATATGACGATACGTAATAAGTATCACCTACGCCTCTAGTTAAAACAATAAAAGCTTTGAATAGTACACATTATGAAAGGTGGATGAAAAGTGATTGCAGTTATTTAAATGAAATGTTTTTGCAATGGGGTAGAGTGTATACAAATTGTTTAAGGTTATTGAAAGGAAAAAACCTAATGGAATCTGGGTAAAATGAAACAATTAGAGAAATGGAGTATCCATTATGATAAGTTTGTTCAGTGTCCTGTATTTTTGCAGCGGATGATGGAAAAACCTTCTTCAACATCAGTTTATAAAGTCTCGCTGGTGGTCCCCCTCTCCAAATATGTCTACACCAGCAGAGGAGGCTGCCTGGTTAAATGAGCTCTAAAAACTGGAGTGAACAACACACATCTGCTTTTCATGGATATTATCTCACACCTTTTTTGATGTACCGCTAGAAGATATATTAACATTACATTAGCATTACATTGCAACTTAGCTGACGCTTTTTATCCAAAGCGACCTTACAATAAGTGCGTTCCACCAACATATACTTATATGCTTGGTCCGAAACGCTCTTATTGGTAAACCTGATGTATTACATGCAGGCTTCATAGAGCTAAAAACATTTCAAGTGCTATTCAACTGGCTTTTAGATAAGCCAGTCCTTTATTAGTATATAAGTGCTTTGTAATAATTTATCACTTCACTCGAAGTGGAGTCGAAAGAGAAAGTTTTCAGTCTGAGCTGGAAGATGTGGTAAGCTTAAAGAGCATCTTGCAGGTTTTTTTTTTCAACATTTAATGCTTAAACTTGCTGAAAATTACAATTAAAAAGTGAATGTAGGATTTGATATTTTTACGGAGACATAAGGGCAGGAAATTCAGAGGGAAAGGAGAAATGTTGAGCTCATGCCT